TTGTAATGAGTTGGAGTATTCGACGAACCACTCGTTACGCTACTCTCTTTGTGAAACGTTTTATAAGTTGTAAAAACGGTATCCTTTCTGGACATTAAGCCTGCCTAAGACATGTTTGCGCTCAAGTCTTAAGCGCCGGCGTGGCTTAGTGGTAGAATACTGGCCCGGCACACAGTGTTGACTCAGGTTCGAGCCAAACAGAGTCGTTGGTGTTCTTAACTTATAAATTTTAAATGCGAAGCATGTCTCTGTGAACTTCGGTGACTCGGACTCTATCTATCTATCTATCTATCTATCTATCTATCTATCTATCTATCTATCTATCTATCTATCTATCTATCTATCTATCTATCTATCTATCTATCTATCTATCTATCTATCTATCTATCTATCTATCTATCTATCTATCTATCTATCTATCTATCTATCTATCTATCTATCTATCTATCTATCTGGCCACCTACGACATTTAGCTCTCCTGGCTGTTTCGATTAAGGTATCGATACCAAACTTGGTACGGCGTAACAAAGCTGTATGATGAGCATGAATGACTTGTCCTATATCATCCCCCGACGACCACTTAACTCTACAAAGCGACCTCCACCGCATTAATGGCTGGTGTAACAAATGGTTAATGTCCCTGAACACGGAAAAATGTAAAATAATCTCCTTTACGCGCAAACAAAACGTTTGCACTTTTCACTACACTATCAATAATTCTGCTCTATCACGGGCATCATCCTATAAGTATCTTGGTGTCCATTTCACACCCAATCTCTCCTGGTCTCACCACATCACCACCATTAGCGCGAAAGCCTCCAAGTCCTTAGGATATCTACGCCGTAATTTACATAGCTGTCCCGCTCAAGTCCGTCAACTAGCCTATCAAACCTTTGTCCGTCCCCAGCTTGAATCTGCCGCTCCTATCTGGTCCCCTTATCACAACTACTTAATTAACATGCTTGAAGCTATTCAGAATAGGGCAGCCCGTTCATTTCACGCAATCATGACTATCGCAGCAGCATAACGCAAATAAAAACAATCTTTCTCTTCAACCCCTGAGCACTCGTCGCGACATTTCCCTTCTTTGCCTCTTTCACAAATACGTGTACACCAACAGACCCCTCCCACTCGATGTTCCTTCCATTACTTCACGTAGGTTGCATAATCACTTCAGTTTCAAGCGATTATACGGGGCAACTGATTCATTAAACTCATCTGCTCTTCCTCGCGCCACACGTTTGTGGAATGGTCTTCCAGATAACATCGACTCTGTATCAGACAATAATTCTTTCCGTCAGTTGCTGCTTACTCTCTTCTCACAATAGACTTGCCACTGTTTTGCACATTTTTTTTAGTGTCGGATTTGTGACCGATTATGTTTGTTGCACACTGTAAATGTTTTCTGTGTATGGGCATAGGTTCTGCGTTTTTTGGTGCTTTTTCTATTGTACGTTCTGCAACTTATAAACAAACTACGGCACGTCGTTGAGGTAAAGCCAGCTGGCTATCTTTGGTTGATGTCGCCTTCATATGCTATAATGACTGTATTCGGTTCCCACTGTGGTGTGTGCACTACAAAATCGCCTTTTCTTTTTTCTTGTTGTCACCTGTTAACTTTAACTTATATTGCAAACCGCGTCATATTTTTATTGTGCTGATACGCTTTGTAACGCGTGAATTAATTTTGTGTGATCTGTAAAATTTCACCAATTACCCCCCTTACTCAATGCCCTGTAAAGGGCCTGTATGGAATTTTAAATAAATAAATAATAAATAAATAATCATTTAAATCCTTTCATGTATGTCATGAATGTTGTGATTTATACTTCATGGTCTTGCTGCTCTTGCGGTGCTTTCGTTCACATGACTTGTTGCAAAACTGGTATGGTGTGGCATGATTGCATGGCGAACACAAGCGACAGGCCCTAAAATTAAAATCATGACATGCGTGTCATGTAATAACATGACTACAAGTCACGCTCATGATGCGCTCGCGGCCATTTCGCTAGCATCACATACTACTTTCGTTATACGACACGTGAATGGATGACGAAGGTATCTCACTGGTGCAAACTTGATAATCATGAGATGCGTGTGATGTAAAAACATGGCTACATGGCACGCTCATGATGTGCTGGAGGCCATTTCGCTAACTTCACTTATACCAAGTTTGGTATTACAGGATGTAAATAGATAATAGAGGTATGAGACTGGTGCAAACAAGATAAACATGAGATGCGTGTCATGTAGCAGCATGACTATATGCCACGTACATAATGTGCTCGTGGCCGTTTTTCTAGCTTCATATGTACCAAATTCGGCATTACGTGACGTGAACCGACGACATAGGTGAATTACCTATACTAATATGATAATCACGGCATGCGTGTCATGTAACAACATCCCTACATGCCACGCTCATGCGCTCACGGTGGTTTCGCTAGCTTCACATATGCCAAATTTTGCATGGTGTGACGTCAATGGATGACGAAGGTATGTGACTGGTGCAAACATGATAATCATGAGATACGTGTCATGTGAAAACATGACCATACAGTAACATAGTAAACTATGTTACTCTATGACATGAATAAATGCCACAGTCAAGGCACCAATACTCTTCAAATTGACCCGGCGCACGTGCGCGCCGGCGTTCGTTTTGTCGCGTCACGCCGGCGTTGCCACGCCAGGCGCCAGTATTGCCTTATACTCGCAGTCACGCGCTGCGTTGCTTTGACGCATGCGCATTTCAGCGCTTCCGGCGTTCCGTCCGTCTCTAAACGAGGCAGACGCAGTGCTGTCTGGATAACGCATTGGCGCCAAATGCAGCAGCATGTCGCATTTTGCGCTGTCTGCCGTCGGGCCACGACGAAGGACGCTGATCGCACTGGTCGCGCTTGGCATCAGACTATAGAATGCTCGCATTTTGCTAAAGTAGCGTCGCTGCGCTTAGCGTGCACGCGCGTCAACTTTACGTTGGAGTATATTGGGCCATTCATGATGCACTCGAGGCCGTTTCGTTAGCTCCTCATATACCTGGTTTGGTGTTACGTGACGTCAATGAATGACGAAGGTATACGACTGGTGCAAACATGATAGTCATGAGACGCGTGTAATGCAAGAACTTGACAACATACGAAACTCATAGCGTGCTCGCAGCCAGTTCTCTAGCTCCACATATACTAAATTTGGCATCACGTGACGTGAACAGATGATGAATGTAAACGACACAATTAAACATGATAATCATCACACGGAAGTCGTATAAGGCATAGTTGACCTCCACCTGTTAACTTTGTGGTGATTTGAAAGTGGCATATCAACCTTCCTCATTCGTGCTTCGCATATCATCGATTCCCACTGTGCGTGAGATCTGCTTATTTTTATAAGCGTAGCGTTTTTAGCGAACTTCGGTGACATTGAGTCTGTCTGTCTGCCTGTCTTTCTGTCTTTGTGTCTGTTTGTCTATCTATCTATCTATCTATCTATCTATCTATCTATCTATCTATCTATCTATCTATCTATCTATCTATCTATCTAACTATCTATCTATCTATCTAACTAGCCGCTTATGACATTTAGCTCTCCTGAACGTTTCAATAATGATATCGATAACAAACTTGGCATGAGAAAACATGACTGTATGTAGAACATATTGGACTAGTCATAACATGCAAATTGTGACATATATTTTATGAAAGTCATGATTTACATTTAATGATCTTGCAGCTCTCGCGGTGATTTCGTTCACATGGCATGTTGCAAAACTGGTAAGGTGTGACAAGACTGCATTGCAAACGGAAGCGACAGATCTTAAAGTAGAAATCATGACTTACATGTTATATAGGCCATAAATCATGAATACATGCCATGCTAATGGTGCATTTGCGGTCGTTTCACTTGCTTCACATATACTAAATATGGTATTACGGGACGTGAATGCGTGACTAAGGTATGTGACTGGTGCAAACATGATAATCATCAAGTGCGTGTCATGTGACAACATGACTACATGCCACGCTGATGTTGCGCTCGCGGCCGTTTCTCAAGCTTCAAAAATACCAAGTTTGGTGTTACGTGAAGTGAATGAATGATGAAGATGACTGGCGCAAACATGATAATCATCAGATGCGTGTCATCTAAGGACACGACTACATGCCTCAATCAAGGCACCAATACACTTCAATGGGACCCGGTGCGCGTTCACGCTGGCGTTCGTTTCGTCGCGTCACGACGGCGATGCCACGCCAGTGTGATGTAGTACCTCAAAAATGCGAGCATAGCAGACGACAGTACCACATCATTTAGAAGATGAGAAGAATGAAGAGGCATTGCAGCGCGCCCATTGAAAAAAGAAGAGGAGACGCTCGCGGAGAACAAAGCTGTTCGGACGCCGGCAAGACGACGCAAGGGAGCCTAGGGCGAACCCGCAACTACGCGCGAGGTTCGAAAGGCCGGGTTCCTGTCCTCGAGCCATTGACGTCCTCGGGGCACGGCGTGTCGGCGTGGCCAAGCTCGAGTTCTCGGTGAGTGGTCCTGTGGACATCTCCGGTACGGCGAGAGCCTTCGAAAGACCGGAGCTGCTGATCATGTCCACCGAGCCGACGTCGCTGACAGTGTGCGGCTACGCTTAGACCTGGTGATGCCCCTTACAATGGTATGCTGACCTGGAACGCAAGCGGCGACAGCATCCGAGCACGCAACGGGTCCCACTTCAAGGCACCGGGCTACGGCACAGACTGTGAGACTGTTTACTCTTTTCTTTCGTGTGTGAACTGCGTGCGTGTACGACTGATAGTACTGTATGTGCAATAGTTTTTTTTTGTTCGTCCAATATAACTCCCGTTTTTTTCCTCACTGTCTCCATCTTCCTCGCGTCACACGCCTTGCTATGTGACGAACCTAACACACGACATATCTGGTGTCCGCGAGACAGGACTACTCTTGTTACATCTAAGAAGAGTATCACATCGCATATGTATGTGTGACGGTCAATGATGGAGGCAGATAAGCTGACGGCGATCGGAAAGGAATTGGGGTTAAGTGGCTCAGCACTAAAAGATTGGATGGACCAAGAACGCGCACGCGAAAAAGAGGCACGTGACGCTCGTCTGGCTGAACGAAATGCCGCGAAAGAAGCCGAGGCAGAGGCAGTCGCTAGATTACAAGCAGAGAAGGAAGTTCTTGAGCTCAAGTTAAAGTTGCATCAGTTAGGTGTGACAGCAGGTAGCACAACTACTGGGCAGCTTACCGAGGGTGCGCCCGTAGGCACCACGCAGAGCTACCAAAGTCCACATAAACTCATCCCAGCCTTTAAAGAGGAACGCGATGAGCTAGACGCATATATACAGCGATTTAAGCGCGTCGCTGCTAGTCAAGACTGGCCGCAAGACAAATGGGCCCTATCACTAAGCCTTTGCTTGACCGGAGAGGCCTTGAGTGTAGTTGGTAGGATGGCACCAGAACATGCCACGAACTACGTAACGTTGAAGAAAACGCTACTACAACGCTTTAGGTTCACAGAAGAAGGCTATCGGACAAAATTTCGATCAGCAAAACCAGATAATTCTGAAATGGGCACGCAGTTTGCCGGGCGTCTATTAGGTTATTTTGACCATTGGCAAGAAATGGCCAAGACAGACCGGACCTACGATGCTCTGCGGGACAAAATTGTCTCAGAGCAGTCTCTCGCACAATGCCATGAGGAACTCGCTGTGTTTCTTAAAGAAAGAAACTGTGAAAGCCTTGAAAAACTTGCGGAGGCTACAGACCACTACTTGGAGGCCCAGGGGTTGATTAACCTTGGCAAATGTAAAGGCGATATCCTGAGCAAGCCTCCAGGTCAAATACGAACGTCTGAGCGGCAAGATGACAAAGAGAAATCGCAGTGTTTCCTTTGCAACAAAAAGGGTCACAGAGCTGCTGATTGCTGGACCAACACAAAGGGTTTCAGGTACAAAGCCACCCTTTTGTGAAAAATGCCGCCGCACTGGGCATAAAACAGGTGACTGCTCCAAAAGGGCCAACAGCGTTGAGAAGGCCTCATGCTCTTTTCAACAAAGAGATGGAGCCAAGATAATTAATTTAGAGTCGAAGGCTTCGCTTTGTGTTCCTGATAGTCCGGAGTGCGCAGAAACGCACCCAGCCAAGCTGAAAAAAAATTGATGCCCACGGGCGAAGGTGTACTCGAAGGATATCCTGCAACAGTACGGCGAGATACCGGATGCGATTCAGTCATTGTCAACAGGTCTCTTGTGGCGGATAGCAAGCTGACTGGAAAGATTTCCTCGATTTACCTCCTGGACGGACGGTTGATGAAGCTGCCTGAAGCACACGTGGAAATTTTTTCACCGTTCTTCACTGGCAAAACTCGAGCCCTTTGTATGGATACTCCTTTATATGATGTCTTGGGAAACGTGGAAGGCGTTCGAGATGCTCACAATCCTGATAACGATTGGAAGAGCCGTCTTTACACCCAGAACACTGCAGAAGAGTATTCTGGCGCAGAAAAATCCGGTTCTGCACACGGACTCTTGTATGCAAAGACTTCAACATCGGCTTCAAAGAAAACACGTTTCAAGACAAAAGTTTCTGCAGTAAACCGACAGGCAGGAAATCCACATCTACTTCCGGCTCCAGTTATTAACCCCTTAGACATCAGCCCACAGGACTTTAAAACCAAACAGTAGGAAGACAGCAGCCTACGGAAATGCTTCGAAGCCGTTAACAAAGAGGTCAAGACAAGGTTTGGTAAAATATTGTTCTTCACGAAGGACGAATCCTCTATCGCAATTACACCCTTCACTCTAAGAGGCAGGTGAATCAGCTTGTGGTACCAAGGTGCCTCCGACAATTTGTTATGAAAATGGCCCACGAAGGCATCCTTTCGGGCCATCAGGGAATTAAACGAACTACCGACCGGGTACTCGAAGAGTTCTACTGGCCAGGGGTTCAGTGAGACATCACACGATTTGTTAAATCGTGTGATATATGTCAAAGAACTATTCCCAAGCACTTCGTGGGTCGTGTACCTCTCGGCAACACTCCTATAATTGACACCCCTTTCAAGAGAGTAGCCATTGATATAGTGGGTCCATTATCACCGATGTCAGAGGGCGGAAAAAAGTACGTACTGACAATGGTGGACATGGCAACGCGTTATCCCGATGCTGTAGCACTGCCGAGCATCCAGACGGAGAAAGTCGCTGAGGCACTTCTGGAGATGTTTTCTCGTGTAGGTGTCCCACGGGAGATAATCAGTGACAGAGGCACGTCATTCTCGTCACGCCTAATGAAGGAGCTAAGCCGACTTCTCTCCTTCAAACAATTGCCAACAACCCCATATCATCCCATGGCTAATGGCCTTGTAGAGAGGTTCAGCGGCACCCTGAAACAAATGATAAGAAGAATGTGTCAGGAGTGTCCGAAGAAATGGGATCGGTACCTGGCACCCTTACTCTTCGCTTATCGCGAAGTTCCCCAGTCGAGCTTAGGCTTCTCCCCGTTCGACTTGCTCTACGGCCGTTACGTCAGAGGTCCCCTGGCGATATTGAAAGAATTATGGGCCGCTGATCATCTTGATGATGATGTGAAAACAGCCTATCGGTACTTAGTCGAACTGCGGAAATGTCTTGAAGACACCTGCCGATTAGCCAAAGAGGAGCTTCAGAAAGGAAAAATGACACAGAAGAAGCATTGTAACCGAAAGACCAGACAACGTCAATTATCCCCTGGAGACAAGGTTTTACTTCTGCTTCCATCGGATACCAACAAATTGGCTCTGACGTGGAAGGGACCATTTTATGTCCTTGAAAAGAGAAATAATGTCGATTATTTAATAGATCTCGGTACCAGCAGCACAATATTCCATATAAACCTATTGAAAAAGTATGAGGAACCGCTGCCTGCCCCACCACATGAAGCATCAGCTGTTTGCCGGGCGGATGAGACCGAAAGCGACGAGCTACCATGGGTTCCATTCCAACGAAAGGACTAATGCATCCAGTGTCATACGCAAGCCGTAGACTACAACCACGTGAAGCTGCTTACGCTACAGTAGAGCGAGAAGCCCTGGCTCTTACGTGGGCGGTTCGGAAATTTCACATCTACCTATTTGGACGCACATTCATTCTACAGAGTGACCACAAACCGCTTGTGTACATCAAGTCGGCCAAGCATGTGAACAACCGCGTGTTACGGTGGAGCCTCATTCTTATGGGGTACGAATTTTCGGTCGAGTATTTCAAAGGCAGAGACAACATAGGCGCAGATTACATGAGCCGTTTGCCAACTCTGTGAGCAACATCTGTATGAAGAATCGATGCTCAGTGGTATTAATAGCTTATGATGTGAACCTTACAGCGCGATACAAGTATCATGACGCTTTAGTTCTGTGACTTGTTTCTATTTTTTTCTGGTTTGTACTTCTGTGACCGAATGTGCCCAGTGTGCGGGGCTCGGAACTGCTATAGTGTGCAGTGGTGCTTACGTGTGTGTTTCCGTCTGCATACCAACGTGTCCACCGTGCCCCGTGCCCCAGGGCCCTCAAGTTCTTCTACCGGAAGAACTTTCTTAAGTGGGGGGTGATGTGATGTAGTAACTTAAAAATGCGAGCACAGCAGACGACAGTACCACATCATTTAGAACATGAGAAGAATGAAGAAGCATTGCAGCGCGCCCATTGAAAAAAGAAGAGGAGACGCTCGCGGAGAACAAAGCTGTTCGGACGCCGGCAAGACGACGCAAGGGAGCCTAGGGCGAACCCGCAACTACGCGCGAGGTTCGAAAGGCCGGGTTCCTGTCCTCGAGCCATTGACGTCCTCGGGGCACGGCGTGTCGGCGTGGCCAAGCTCGAGTTCTCGGTGAGTGGTCCTGTGGACATCTCCGGTACGGCGAGCGCCTTCGAAAGACCGGAGCTGCTGACCATGTCCACCGAGCCGACGTCGCTGACAGTGTGCGGCTACGCCTAGACCTGGTGATGCCCCTTACAATGGTGTGCTGACCTGGAACGCAAGCGGCGACAGCAGCCGAGCACGCAACGGGTCCCACTTCAAGGCACCGGGCATCGGCACAGACTGTGAGACTCTTTACTCTTTTCTTTCGTGTGTGAACTGCGTGCGTGTACGACTGATAGTACTGTATGTGCAATAATTTTTTTTGTTCGTCCAATATAACTCCCGTTTTTTTCCTCACTGTCTCCATCTTCCTCGCGTCACACGCCTTGCTATGTGACGAACCTAGCACACGACAGCCAGGCACCGATCTGCCTGCCATATACTAGCAGGCGTGCGTCGCGCTGCGTTGCTTAGACGCATGGGCGAGTGAGCGCAGCGGGCGTTTCTCCGTCATGAAGAGAAGCAGACGCAGTGATGTCTGGGTAACATCATCTCCGCGAAATGCACAATGTCGCATTTTGAGCCGCTTTCCGCCTGGCTGCGCCGACAAACGCTGGTCGCGCCGGTCGCTCCTAGCGTTATAATATTGAGTGCTCGCGTTGCTAGCGCAGCGTTGCTGTGCCCAGTGTGCACGCACTTCGCCGTTCCATCGGAGTGTATTGGGCTATTCATGAGGCGCTTGTGGCCGTTCCACATATGCCAATTTTAGTATCAGTTTACGTGAATAGATGACGAAGATATATAACACGTTCAAACAAGATAATCATGACAAGGAAGTAATGTACGATCTAGTTTACCCCCGCCTCGTAACGTTGTGCTTAATCTAAAGTAACATATTAACCTTCCTTATTCGTGCTTTGCATATCATAGACTCCAACTGTACGTGGGATCTGCGACTTTTGTGCAGTAATGACTAGTTCGGACATTGCAGGTGTAGGACAACATTGAATGATCCAAGTATGAACGGTTACCTGTGCAAGTAGAATTGCAAAGCATAAACTTGTCGCCCGTGGCAAGCTTCGTGTGAAATCCCGTAAATTCATGGTGATCGCTCAGGAGACCAAGAATATTAGGCTGAAGCTGCTATGGCTTCCGCCTTACTTGGAAACTAGACGTGTGGAAGAAGCGTTTCAAGCTTGTGGGCTCGTGAGGTCCACAGAGAGAGACATGCAGATGTGATGGTAGAGAGCAGTGGATGACAACAGACCGGGATCAAGGATAGCGATCAAGGATGGATAACCAAAGATCAAAATGATCATCTTTATTTAGCAATGCCTAGTGCTCAATACTGGTAGACCACTGCTCTGTCTTCGTTGCAAGTGAGTTGGATACATTCGTCGACAGTGCAAAACACCATGGTGCTTGCTGTAGGGCGTCAACATCAAACCGGTTTTGCGGCGCAACCTGGTCATCTGGTAATTTGAATTCGAAAACCGGGAACCACCTAGACCGGATATTGGGTTGACTATTCGGGTAACAATACCGTCATATTTAAATAATATAATAACCGGATTTTCATTTAGTAATGCTACGATAAATATTTGTTTTTCTTGGATTTTCGTGGTTGTAGGAAAGATTTCAACCATATGAACAAGTATGATATGTGCTTTTTTGACATCCTCAAATTGTTCATTTGTCTTAAGGAGGGGACATTACGTGAGTCACTAGTGATAATGCCGTTTGAAAGGTAGCTAGTGATTACTCATTCACAATCTTTCCGTTACTTAGGAATATCCGCAGGTTGTGAAAGTGCATCAAAGTTAAAAATTTAGGTCTTTCCTTGGGTCATTAGTGATTACGTCCGTGATGAATTAACGAGGTGCGCATGTTTTGTCGGTGCACATTCAATAGCACTGAAATTTCAAATATGCTCTTAGCGAGACTAAATATTCGTTTTGGAATAATCTAATAGCCGGTTGTACGTTCATTGAAACCGCAAAAGCAGAATGGCCGTTTCTTCAAATCCGGAGAAATGGTTTTCAAGGTCGAATTTGCTTTTCACCAGTTTAACCAGACAACCAGTTTGGCGGATACTTGCGAGCTCTAGCTTGCAGTTCCATCGTTTCGGTCATCTGTCAGATGCTTGGGTGTCGACCTACGCAAGCAGGCTGCGTTCTGGCCAGTGTAGCACAGAGGAGCCTAATGGCTGCCACAAAAGTGATCGATGACTTCTGTGACCATCTAATGGCTGCCACAGAAGTCATCGATGCGTCTGGAGAAGCAGTAGGTAGAAACACAGAAAATGAAAAGTTGGCCATTGAGCCCATGACAAACAGTCACAATGGAGCTGCAAAAAGCGCACGTGATAGACACTAAATAATGTACTGGCATCGGAAAGACATTGTTAGACTCTTTATGGCTGAGGGAAGTGGCCACACTGCACAGTCACTGAATTACTATAGATACTTCGCGCTTGCACGTGGGGGCGTTTGTGTGTGTGTGTGCGTGCGTGCGTGCGTGTGTGTGTTTGTAACAAAACAAATTAATAAGTAGGCACTTGAGAGCGCACTAGCGGCTGGATTTCGCTATCGCATTCACCTCTTAAAGGCGAATTAAGGGTCCCCCCAATTGTTTGGCATCGTTTCTGGGTTTATTTAATGCGCACGTTCAACTTTGCTGTTTTGAACTTGGATGCGCAATGTAAGAGCCGCGTCTGATCGGGCATGACCGCACTGAATCGACCCCAGTGTTCTATCCAGCACTGATTCCTGGCTGGGCGCCTCTCAAGGCGGAAAGGGAGACGTGGCGCGGCGGCAGTCAGACGCATGTCACGTCGGCTCCGTCGGAAATCAACGTATGTTGTGGACTTTTGGCAAATATTCACCAGAAACTGGTTTCAGCGTTTCGGCGAAGCTCTCAGGAATCTCTGGATACCTATTTTATCCAGGTAGGTTCATTTTTCGGCAATCTAAGACTGGTTGAACATCAAGCGACGCCCGAGCCCGGCTGAGCCCTAATGCCGACGAGGCTTACGCTCGGGCTCCCGCCATGGCAGCGTCCATGAAGACAGGCTTCGACCCCATCACGATGCAGTGGATTGACATCGTGGTGGCAGAAACACGAGCAGACCCCATACCAGGTGAAGACGAATATTTTCAGATCATGGTTCGCCAACTGCAAGAGAAGCTTGCTAAAATGTAGCCCCGAGGCTTGACGGCCGCCGCCCAGCCACAGGCTCGCAAAACAGGATCAAACGCCTTAGCGTGCGTTGAGTCCCCGCGGCAGCTGGCGACGTGGAAGCCAACACACACGCCTCAAATCTGGTCGGACGAGTTGGTTATTGTGCTTAAACCAAAAATAACCATGTATCTGCACGCTGCGTTAGGCCCAGGCGAGATTGGCACCGCAGTGCAACGCTTCACCGGCAGCACCACGAACGCTGGTATCTCCGTGTGGACGGTGTGGGACCAAAGCATTGTTGTTGTAGGTCTGAAAACGAAAAGCCTGGCCTTGAAGCTCATCGGGGACATCACGCTGACGATCGGGGACCGCCAGGTATCGTTTCAAGGACATTTGAAAACAGCCGGAGAAACCAGCAGCAAGGGTGTTGTCACCGTCGCATACAATAAAACTTCGGAATCCCTTCGACGTAAGCTCTAGTGAATCGACTGCGAAATTTTGTATGTGCGGAAACTCGGAACACCCAACGTAGCAGTGGTGACCTTCAAAAGGACGCCACGTTCCAAGATTCATTCACTACTGCTGTGAAAACGTGCCAGTGCACTACTACAAGAAAATGGTTCCGGCACGTTACCGGTGTGGAACGGTGGGCCACAGACCAGATGCGGGCCCCAATCCGGACAATCAGTGGTGCATTCACTGTGGTGCGAAGGTGGAACTCACTCTCAAGGGCCCAGCGAAGTACGACTGTCAACCCGAGTGCCTTATATGCGGTGAAAACCATTTCACCGGCTCTGCGCAGTGCGTCGGAAAATTCCGTAAGGCATGGAAGCCCGCTCTACCACAGCGGCAACATGGACTAAAAAACAAGCAAAAAGAGCCTTCAGCACCTCTCAGGACTGATGAAAAAGCGAAGCTAATGCATAACAAGCCCAAGCCGATCAAAGCCCCAGCCGGAGAGAAAACGAGGCCACCTACTCTTTAGCGCCGAGGATTTCCCGTCACTGGCAAACTCGCCCAAAACAGGTGAGCGATTGGGTAGGGGTCTCCTATCAGTCTCCCACCACCACTGCCTCCCCCTCCAATCCTGAAATTTTAAACAAATGGAAGCCATGAAAAAACGCAATTAAACCCTGGAACGCGAAAATCGGGCGCTGAAGGCGTCGCATGCTGCTACTCCTCCACCGCCGTCGGAACCTGTAGATATGCACACCTCCGACTGCTAAGACAATGAGCAGGACACTCTGTCAGACGTATCAGGTAACACTAGTGTGTCTAAAACTGTATTAGGTGCTTCGAACGACATAGAAGGTCGACTAAGCAGACTAGAGACTAAACTTGAGGAGCAGAGCAAAATGATCCTAGAACAAACCAAGCTTACAGTAGAAGAAATTATTCCGAAGCAGCTGAAGCTATCAGTTCAAGCGGCTATGCAAAACCTCAAGCAGAGCTTTTTGCCAATTCTCACAGCCGGTGTACGACAAACCATTCAAAATTGGCTCGCCCCCCAATTGGAGCAACTCAAAACTAGCATTAGGACAACAGAACAACCCCGACGCAAAATTGTTCATCGTAACCTGGCAAATTCTGAATCTGAGAGCACCATAGCCCAACTGTTAACAAACCAAACTGAGTCCCCCACGCCTCTCCAGGCTCCCACGCAGGCTGAAGTGGCGAAAATGACACCTCCTCAATAATAAATTAATGATGGCAGGCAGTTCTAAACTTATTAATAAAAGGTCCAAACAACAGCAACTCGATACTTTTCAGTGGAACTGCAGGAGGTTTAAAGATGAGAAAAAGAGGGCCACTTTTAACTTTTTCCTGCAGAATCAACATTTTACCCGTGCAGTTTTGGGGCTACAAGAAACCGGCATACAGGCGAAATTACGCGGTTACAACTCGTTTCAGGGAAGTGCGTCCACCTGTGTTCTCGTACACAAGGAGTATACCACTTGTCAGATAGACCTTGATCTGTCAGAGGCGTATGAATACGCAATGGTCAAAGTCCTTCCCAATGAAAGACGAGATTCTAGCTTGTACATTCTAAATGTATACAGTTCTCCAAAACCTTGGCAATGCGTCTTCAACAAAATGTTTATAAAGCGATTAAGGAAGCAGATAAGTACCCACTGGTGATTTTGCGTGACTTTAACCCCTCCCAGCTATCACTGGGGTTACACCCGTGAAGGCCCCAAGGGACGGAAATTGGCAGAACTCACATTCACTCTTCGTCTATCACTTCTCACAGATCCGATGAAACCCACTGGAAATGGGAATTCTGTAAACCGAGATACTTGCCCGGATCTATCACTGACTAATGACATTTCCTACGCAACATGGGAAAACTTTGAAGAAACGCTCGGCACTGATCACTGTCTCTTCAGAATCACACTCTGCGCCAACATAGGCCGTAGAACATGGAGCCAAGCTAAGCTGACAGATTGGACAGCCTTCCGCTCACAGGTGATCCCCTCTGTGCCAGGGGCGGGAGGATATACAGGATGGGCAGAACAGCTCCTTGCAGCTAATTCCATGTGTCTTAAAACTATGAAGAAAACGGAAGACACCCTCGCCATCGATAAGTACCTGCTCTACCTTTGGGACGCCCGCAGATCGAAGCTTAAATAAATGATGGCGGAAAAACAAATTCAACCGCAAGCTTAAACTTAGATTAGCCGAGCTGAGTAAGCAAGCGGAGGAATATGCTGCACAACTGAACGAATCCAATTGAATAGATTGGTGCAATGTTGTAGCTAATGAAATGAATACAAGGAAAGCATGGCGCCTTTTTCGAGCTCTCGTGGACCCCGCCCAAACCAGAGGAGAAGCGCAAAAGCAGCTCCGTCAAACACTGCACAGTTTTCAGGAAACCAACTCCCAGCTGGCTGATGCTTTGTGTGCTAGATACCTATCTCGCACCACGGATCTCAACAGGAACGCATATGAATACGCAGGTAGAGAAAACAGTCAGCTCGATGCCCCTTTTGAAATGTGCGATCGGAAAGCAGCACTGAAAAAAATGCGCAAGGGCACTGCCCGGGCCGAGACCTGATCACGGTAAAACTGTTAGCAAATCTGTCCGCCGATTCTTATCGACATATATTGCAGTAAATTAACACGATCTGGGATGGCCAACCACTGCCAACTGAATGGAAAACAGCAGTTGTCACATTCATGCCCGAACCAGGCAAGCAAATCAGCAGGAACAACCTCAGACCTATACGATTACTCCAGGTGCCGAAACTTAATGGAAACAATGGTTAGAGACCGTCTCGCCACGTACCTCAAGTGGAAGGGGTATTTCGCAGATTCCATGTTTGACTTTAGGCCACACCTTGTCTGTGCAAGATATCCTTTTGCAACTAAAACGAGACATTGTCCAACCCATTCCCTCGACGCACAACGACAGGACAATCCTTGCACTCGAACTTAAAGGTGCACTCGACAACGTTAAACATGAAAGCATCCAGAAGAACTAGAGTAGTACCCATTGCGGTAAAAAAGTCTTTTCCTACATCCGAGACTTTCTCCCTGTGAGACTGGCGTTCATTCGCATAGATAACGAGGAACATGGATGATTCAAAATGGGAACGCGAGGAACCCCGCAAGAAGCGGTCCTATCTCCGCTGCTATTCAACATTGCCATGATGAAGCTCCCGCAAGCATTGGCATTAGTGGAAGGAATATATCATGCAATATACGCCGATGATATAACAATCTGGACGAATCGGGGCAGTTCGGGAGAAATTGAAGACCACCTACAGCAGGCCGCCTCCATTGTGGAGGACTGTGTGGCTCAGTGTGGGTTGCAGTGCGCTCCAACCAAATCTGAATTCCTGCATATCAGAGAAAACATTAAAAATAGGACGACCCTGAACTTGATGGTATCAAGATCAACCATACGAGGGGTTTCAGAACCACGAATCCTTCGCCTTCTGATTCACAACAGAACAAAAAATGAGCACCACGACAGGCAAGCTAAGGAAAATTGGAGAACAGGTAGGGCACATGATCCACCACGTGTTGAACAAACGCGGTGGGCTACGGGAAGAGACGCGATTCGGCTCGCCCATGCTTTTGTAACTAGCAGAATTCTATATTCAATACCGTGCTTACGAATCACTAAAGAAGAAGAGAACAGAGTCGATGCTATTCTTAAGAAAGTAATTAAGCGCGCACTTGATTTACTCATCAGCACGTCCAACCAGAAACTCTCTGCATTGGGAGTCTTTAACTCTATACAAGAGCTCCAAGAACTCCACCTCACAAATTAATATGCGCGTCTTACGCAGACGCCCCCCGGGTGGCGACTACTGGACCGCCTTTTGATCCGGCACGAATGCGAAATTGAAAGCGCGGAGCGTATTACTGAACTTTCTAGAACTAAACTCTGGGTGTCCCCGCTTCCCCGCATTATGACCAGGGAGGCGCATCAGAGTAGAAGGCAAGCGCGCGGAGGCACTTGAAGAACGGCTTGGCCCCGTAATGGGTCTACTAGGTCGATGTGGCCGGGCCGTCACCTAGGGGATACTTCACGGCGGCGGTAATACATCAAGGCACGCAGGTGGACGGCCTCACTTTCAAAGCCACAAGCTCAAGTAAGGTGGAGGAGGTGGCCATCGCACTGGCAGTATCCAATCCAAACTCAAAACAAATAGTTACAGACTCTCGAAGAGCCTGCGAGAGCTATCTTTCTTGAGAAATCTCTCTATTGGCTTATAGACTTTTAAAATTCAGCATCAGGAACCGCGATCCTCACCCAAAACGTCCTATATGGACTCCGGGACATCAGGGTCTACAGGGTAATGAGGCTGCACATGCAGCGGCCCGCGTGCTTACTTGCCGGGAAGCTCCCCGTTCCCCTGATAGACCTGGACGTCCCTCCCACACCTTTAACACGGTTTAGGGAAATTAAAGAATACTACATTGAGCAACGCCGCTTGTATCCCGCACCAGCGAAGGGACTCTCGAAAACGGAGGAGCGCGTCCTGTGGCGCCTACAGACGAACACGCTGCTC